GAGAGAGAGAGAACATGCACAGGGGACACATAACCACACCCAAAAGGGTGGAAAAACACCTCAACAAATACTCTTTTAAATACATACATCCTAGGGATGTAACACCCCCACCACCAAAAATACAAACCATAGTTTTGTATGACCCTTACAATTTACTTTAGGAAGGAGGTTATAAGGGTCAGCGAGGGAACAATTTATACTCTTGAGAGGGCATCAGCCATAACGTTTTCAGCGCCCTTCTTGTGACGGATGTCCAGATTATATCCCTGGACAGCGAGAGACCACCGCAGTAGTCGCTGGTTGGAACCTGACATTCGGGAAAGGAACACTAAAGGGTTATGGTCAGTGTACACAACAATAGGATTGGAGTTGCTCCCCAAATATACCTCAAAATGCTGAAGAGCACACAACAATGCCAGAGCTTCTTTTTCAATTACACTATAGCTCTGTTGTGTCTTTGAGAACTTTTTAGAAAAGTAGGACACGGGATGTTCAATATGGTACTCATCCTCCTGTAGTAGGACCGCACCAGCTCCTGTAGCACTTGCATCCACCTGTAATCTAAAAGGCAACTTGAAGTTTGGAGCAGACAAGACAGGGGCATGGCAGAGCAGATCCTTGGCAGCTTCAAATGCAAGTTGACAATTGCTGGTCCATAAAAATCCTCGGTTTGTACTTAGAAGGTCTGTAAGTGGAGATACAAGGGCAGAGAAATTGGGACAGAAACTTCGATAATATCCCGTCATACCTAAGAAACGTCTCAGTTCACGTTTGTTGCAAGGCACAGGAAACTTGAATATGGCTGAAATTTTTGCCTCAACTGGTTTAACCACTCCCTGGCCTACCTGCTTGCCCAAGTATGTAACAACTCCTTTTGCAAACTCACATTTGGTGAGGTTTAGTGTTAAGGAAGCTGCGGCCAGGCGTTGGAAAACCTTTTCGATGGTCTTTAGGTGGTCTGTCCAGCTATCAGAGTACACTACAATATCATCCAAATACACGTCACTGTTTGGCACACCTGACAATATCTGACGCATCATGCGCTGAAACGTAGCAGGTGCATTTCGCATCCCAAAAGCTAGAACCCGGTATTGCAGAAAACTATCAGGGGTGACGAATGCGGAAACTTCAGAGGCACGTTGGGTGAGAGGCACTTGCCAGTAGCCTTTTAGCAGATCTAATTTGGTAACATATTTCGCTAAACCAACTCTATCTACACAGTCTTCCATTCTAGGATGGGGGAAAGAGTCAGGTTTTGTTACGCTGTTGGCCTTCCAATAATCAGTGCAAAACCTGAAGGTATTATCAGGCTTTGGAACAAGCAAACAGGGGGAGCTCCACGGGCTCTGACTGGGCGTAGCAATTCCATGATGCAGCATATACTCAACTTCTGTCTGCATGACCACACGTTTCTGTGGATTAACTCTGTAAGGATGTTGCTTTATGGGGGCAGCATCCCCAACATCAATGTCGTGAACACACACAGTAGTTCTACCTGGCACATCCTTAAACAGGGTAGGAAAGGCATACAGTAACTCAATTACGTCCCTAGACTGTTCCTCAGTCAGATGAGAAAGAAAATGTGAAAGATTTTGCAGAACAGCAGAATTCTTCAGACGAGTTGTGGAAACTGGAACATCACTGTTCATCAAGCCATCCTCCTCGAAGGAGTAACTTGCCACTACACCCACAGTGGCAATAGAGGCAGGCAGCGGAGAACACTCACTCTGTTCTGCAGTCACCTCAGAGTGAGGTCTGTCTACATAGCTTTTAAGCCTATTTACATGACACACTCGGCTCTTACATTTCCTGTCAGGAGTAGCAATAAGAAAGTTGGTCTCATTTAACTTCCTTTCAACCAGGTATGGCCCAGCGAATTTTGCATGTGAAATAGAACCGGGGTTTGGAAGCAAAACCAACACGGAATCGCCAGGGCGAAAGTCTCTATATACAGCCCTCTTGTCAAAATGTGCCTTCATCTTAGTTTGAGTGGTGGAAAGATGAAGTTTGGCAAGACTTTGGGCTTTGTGCAACCTCTCACGGATAGAAGTGACATAAACATCGACCGGAACGGATTTAGAACTTTGGCTCAGCAATTGTTCACTTAACAACTTTAGAGGGCCACGAACTGTATGGCCAAACACCAGTTCATAGGGGCTAAAGCCAAGGGACTCTTGCACCGACTCTCTTATCGCAAACATCAGGAAAGGAAGACCCTCGACCCAATCCTTCCCAGTTTCCACACAATAACGATGCAGCAGGTTTTTCCAAGGTTTGATGAAACCTTTCGAGTGCCCCTTGGGACTCGGGGTGATATGCAGTAGGCATTCGTTGACTTATGCCAAGTGTTTCGAGAGCCTGTTTAAAAACTCTATCACTGAAGCTTAACAAAGTATGGCAGAGGGGTTTTTCCCATTATAACCCTGGACCATTTCCTGTAGTAAGATACTGAGCAAATGATGAAAGAAGTAGTTGCTTATATAATAATACTTCATATTCTACCATAGTTTTTCATTGTTTATCAACTTTAGTATATTTAAAAAAAATTATTATATATTTCAAAGCTTTGGTGTGGTTGTGAACAGGACATTTTTCAAGAGTGAGCAGATTTCTACAAAAGACCCTGCCATGACATACTTGAATGTTTTTTTTCTGCTTCTTTTCAGAGATTGTTGTTAAAGACCTATCTGACATCTTTATCTAAAAAAGAAATGTGTAAACTGAGTCTGAACTATCAATGCAATGCAACCCTACCAGACAGCGAGTGTCTCATGTTGAAATGATCTCCTAGTCAAGGTTGGGCATAACACTCTTTGCTGGAATACTTGAATCTGATTGGTCAATAATGCCATCCATTGTGTTATAGTGGACTGTTTTTTCTTTGCAGAAGCTTTAAAATCACACACAGGTAAGATTATAAAAATTATTTCAAAACTCAATATTTAATTTACTTTTTATTTATTTATATTATTTATTATATAATGACCGGCTGACTGGCAACTGACTGTTAACAAAGTAGTGTAGAAGATTTTTATTGATCAAGATGTGTATTAATCAAGTATAATCAATGAGAATATAACCGTATACATATGAGTTATTCTACTATTATAGTCCATGTGTTTGGCTGTGTGTGCTCTGATATGATGAGCTGCTATTGAGAGAGAACATGTGATGAACTGAGACCTCTTTGTATTATGCTGACGTGAAGAGATATAGACTAGCCATAGTGGCCTGAATGATATGTATTGTTTATGGAAACCTGTATAAAGAGTGTGCAGACAGACTTAACAGGTTCTCTGCAGATCTTCTGGCATCAAAACCTCAAGTCTTCCAGAGTGATTTCTCAGAAAAACAGTGGAAGCCACCACAAATTGGCATCACGAACAGGATTGGGAAGGAGCAAGAGGCCACTTTGGGCTTACTGGACGAACAACACAAACAGTGGCCACTAAAAAGGTAAGCAGTTTTTGATTATATAATTAGTTTGGGTTGTCTGCCAGAGTCTGCTCGTGGTGGTAAGGACACTCGAAAATGCTCCTCCGAATTTAAAGAACAAAAAGAAGAAAACAGAAGGGTTTTGATTCCAGAAAAAATAATTGCATGCAAAAATCTGTACGGTCAAGTGGGCGTTGAGGATGGCTGTAAACATAAAGCAGATATATTTTGCTGTCGTCTGTGTTTACTGTTAAGTGGGCCTTAGGATAATGTAAGCGTTGAATAGATAAAGTATACACTCTTAAAAATAAAGGTGCTTCAAAAGGTTCTTCAAGCGATGCCATAGAAGAACCATTTTTTGTTCCACAAAGAACCATTCAGTCAAAGGTTCTTTAAAGAACCATCTCTTTCTTACCTTGTTGTAATCTGAAGAACCTTCTTTCGCCACAAAGAACCTTTTGGGAAACAGAAAGGTTCTTCAGATGTTAAAGGTTCTTTATGGAACCATTTAGACAAAAAGGTTATTCTATGGCATCGTGAAGCACCTTTATTTTTAAGAGTGTAGGTAAGCACGCAAAGTCCTATGGATACTGCTCTGTTAGGGTGAAGAAGTTAGACTTAATGCAGGAAAAGGTGAATCTTTCACTTGAGACTTTTCCTTAGTGGGTAGAGAATGTCCTGAAATGCAAAACTGTGGCAGGATCAATCAAAAACCAGACTGAGGAGAGGCAGAGAAACAATGGCGATCTTACACCACAACACCAGGCCTTTGAGGGGGGTGAAAGGATGTGAAAAATGGTGTTATATGGAGTGAAAGAGGGTGTCTGACAAGACACTGAGGCAAATAAATAATTTTTATTTGTGTGCCCACAGGGCAGATTATTCCCAGTAAAATAATGACCATGAATGAATTTGGTTAAGTTTCCTGGTCAGTACCCAAGTTATTGTTGTGGCAGAAAGAAACACAGTGCCACTCTTGTGCAGCATATTACATGGGAAGGCAAAGCAATCTTTCTCTGTCCACCCCACGTCTAACTTTCTTTTCAGCATATCATGCTGGAGCAGATTCTGTGTCAAAAGTATAAAATATTGTCTTCCTGACTGTTAACATGAGAAACGTGGGTTGAGTGTTTTCCAGGTTAAAAGGCCTCTGCTACTGAGAAAGATAGGCCTAAGAAATTATCCAGTGACAGTGGGACTCAGATTATAAAACAAAGAGATAACTGAATTAGCAAATTGTTGAGAATAAATTTTAAATTAATTTAAAAGTAGTAAGGATTCAAATAATTTAATAAAAACCAAATTCTTTATTATAGAAAATGGCTATTAGCCCTGCTCATTGTATTGATAGCAATGGATGTGTAAGAGCCCAAAAAGGGGCCAGGACAGCCCTCAGCCCACAATAATTTCCACAGGTTACACCAAGAAGGACGACTGGCCAGATGAGCAAATGAGCATGTTTGATATCACTAAAAAAAAACTCTGAAGGTTTCCATTTACAGGTGACAGCAGTTCTATCAAGGCAAGGGAATGGTCTGTTCCACCAATAAGAACCAGTGAGTGTGCAGTTATGATCTCAAGGAAGTGTCTTACATTGATCAGTAAAATGGTTGCAGAGTGACACCTGGGTCCACATTGCTCACCTTAAAATATGCCAACCAGCTTCAACAACCCAACACAGCATGAAGTGAGGGATTAAGGGTGTGCTAGTAACGACTCTCCCTTGCCAATGAGAGAAAGACCATTGCAACGACTCGCAAAGAGTCACCCTGGTGAAGATGGAGTGATTGATGGGACGGCTAACGAGATGATCAAAATAATTTGGAGCAGATGTGGTCCAACAAATGAAAAAGAGGAAGTGGAAAGAGAAGGAAACTTGAAGCAGACAATAATGGAGAAAGCAAGAAGGAAAGACAGAGGGTGAAGAAGACATGTAAAGTTGTGTCATGAAATAACTTTTTGATATTTGAAAGGGTTAGGGATACGGGATCTTTTTTACTTCCTCCTGAAGTCAAATGTGGGGGATAGAGTTTTGGTCCTGCTTCTCCACCAGAGTGCTGTTGTATAATCTGGTCTTTGGTAATGAAGCTGAGTGACTTAACTTAGTCACTAGGTAGTGATGACTGATGAGACTCAGTTATGAAATTGCACTCTAGGTAAAGACAAGTGAAGGTGGGACTTAGTAAGTCTCAAAGGTGGGTATGTAGAAGATTTTTATTGATCAAGATGTGTATTAATCAAGTATAATCAATGTGAATATAACCATATAATATAATCAATGTGAATATAACCGTATACATATGAGTTATTCTACTATTATAGCCATGTGTTTGGCTGTGTTTGCTCAGATATGATGAGCTGCTATTGAGAGAGAACATGTGATGATCTTGTGCCGATATGTGATGAACTGAGACGTGATGTGATGTGATGTGATGAATTTTGTATTATGCTGACGTGAGGAGATATACACTAGCCATAGTGGCCTGAATGATATGGAAACCTATATAAAGAGTGTGCAGGTACAGACTTAACAGGTTCTCTGCAGAGTTTCTCAGCTTCGTTATCTCTGATAATAAAGTCTATCTTCTGGCATCAAAACCTCAAGTCTTCAAGAGTGATTTCTCAGAAAAACGGCAGAAGCCACCACAGAAGTTCCTTAGAAACTCCTCCAGTCCCATTGGTACAAAGTCAGTGTCAACACATTTTAAATCCTCCATCCTTCTGTTGTCAGTGGACAAAAAGGCTAAAAAAAACATTTAAAGCATACAAGTCAAGTCACCTTTATTTGTATAGCGCTTTATACAATACTGGTTGTGTCAAAGCAGCTTTACAGTGTCAAACAGGAAAATAGTTTGTCAATGATGCAAGACAATAACAGAGTAATTTTTCAGCTAAAGTTGAGCGGTGGAAAGATGAAGTTTGGTAAGCCTTTGGGCTTTGTGCAACCTCTCACGGATAGAAGTGACATAAACATCGACCGGAACGGATTTAGAACTTTGGCTCAGCAATTGTTCACTTAACAACTTTAGAGGGCCACGAACTGTATGGCCAAACACCAGTTCAGAGGGGCTAAAGCCAAGGGACTCTTGCACCGACTCTCTTATCGCAAACATCAGGAAAGGAAGACCCTCGACCCAATCCTTCCCAGTTTCCACACAATAACGATGCAGCAGGTTTTTCCAAGGTTTGATGAAACCTTTCGAGTGCCCCTTGGGACTCGGGGTGATATGCAGTAGACATTCGTTGACTTATGCCAAGTGTTTCGAGAGCCTGTTTAAAAACTCTATCACTGAAGCTTAACAAAGTATGGCAGAGGGGTTTTTCCCATTATAACCCTGGACCATTTCCTGTAGTAAGATACTGAGCAAATGATGAAAGAAGTAGTTGCTTATATAATAATACTTCATATTCTACCATAGTTTTTCATTGTTTATCAACTTTAGTATATTTAAAAAAAATTATTATATATTTCAAAGCTTTGGTGTGGTTGTGAACAGGACATTTTTCAAGAGTGAGCAGATTTCTACAAAAGACCCTGCCATGACATACTTGAATGTTTTTTTTCTGCTTCTTTTCAGAGATTGTTGTTAAAGACCTATCTGACATCTTTATCTAAAAAAGAAATGTGTAAACTGAGTCTGAACTATCAATGCAATGCAACCCTACCAGACAGCGAGTGTCTCATGTTGAAATGATCTCCTAGTCAAGGTTGGGCATAACACTCTTTACTGGAATACTTGAATCTGATTGGTCAATAATGCCATCCATTGTGTTATAGTGGACTGTTTTTTCTTTGCAGAAGCTTTAAAATCACACACAGGTAAGATTATAAAAATTATTTCAAAACTCAATATTTAATTTACTTTTTATTTATTTATATTATTTATTATATAATGACCGGCTGACTGGCAACTGACTGTTAACAAAGTAGTGTAGAAGATTTTTATTGATCAAGATGTGTATTAATCAAGTATAATCAATGAGAATATAACCGTATACATATGAGTTATTCTACTATTATAGTCCATGTGTTTGGCTGTGTGTGCTCTGATATGATGAGCTGCTATTGAGAGAGAACATGTGATGAACTGAGACCTCTTTGTATTATGCTGACGTGAAGAGATATAGACTAGCCATAGTGGCCTGAATGATATGTATTGTTTATGGAAACCTGTATAAAGAGTGTGCAGACAGACTTAACAGGTTCTCTGCAGATCTTCTGGCATCAAAACCTCAAGTCTTCCAGAGTGATTTCTCAGAAAAACAGTGGAAGCCACCACAAATTGGCATCACGAACAGGATTGGGAAGGAGCAAGAGGCCACTTTGGGCTTACTGGACGAACAACACAAACAGTGGCCACTAAAAAGGTAAGCAGTTTTTGATTATATAATTAGTTTGGGTTGTCTGCCAGAGTCTGCTCGTGGTGGTAAGGACACTCGAAAATGCTCCTCCGAATTTAAAGAACAAAAAGAAGAAAACAGAAGGGTTTTGATTCCAGAAAAAATAATTGCATGCAAAAATCTGTACGGTCAAGTGGGCGTTGAGGATGGCTGTAAACATAAAGCAGATATATTTTGCTGTCGTCTGTGTTTACTGTTAAGTGGGCCTTAGGATAATGTAAGCGTTGAATAGATAAAGTATACACTCTTAAAAATAAAGGTGCTTCAAAAGGTTCTTCAAGCGATGCCATAGAAGAACCATTTTTTGTTCCACAAAGAACCATTCAGTCAAAGGTTCTTTAAAGAACCATCTCTTTCTTACCTTGTTGTAATCTGAAGAACCTTCTTTCGCCACAAAGAACCTTTTGTGAAACAGAAAGGTTCTTCAGATGTTAGAGGTTCTTTATGGAACCATTTAGACAAAAAGGTTATTCTATGGCATCGTGAAGCACCTTTATTTTTAAGAGTGTAGGTAAGCACGCAAAGTCCTA